AAAACAACGTTATTTAATAGGAATGTCAAACACATGATTCCAGAGAATTGTTAAAAACAACATTTTCCAATTTTAAAGAACTGGTAAAAAGTGATGTGAAACTAGACCTGAAGAAGAGACTACTAGTTAATTAAAGGTTAAGTTTGGTCGGTCCTACTCTACGGGGTGGAAACATGGACCCTTCCGCTGAAACAACTCAACACTAAGAAGACTTTTAAATGAGTGTTATACACGAATTATGGAGGTGTTACTGCTGGGCATATTATTAGATCTGAGGGAAGGTTGGTAGATAAATTGATGGGTAAAAATCAGAGGAAGAAAACGACACGTAGGCAGAGACTCACGTGGCTCGGTGGAGTTATAAAATAGATTGAAGATGGGAAACTTGAATTAAGAAAGTTGGTGCAAGCAGCAAGGAATAAAAACAACGAAGAATCATAGTCCTTTACCTTCAGTATTAGGGTGGATACTATGACTGATTGATTGACTGGTGGGGGCTTCATATTTCAATACGTCACACTTATTCAAATGAATTGTTACGATTGCCAGCGCAAAAATAATAATTTTCCTTTATATAAGCCGGACGTAGCCTATTACTTTAAACTTTGATAACGCACGTTCGATTCGTAGCTGATTTTCTGTATTTCAACCAAATAATATTGAAGATTTTTTTCTCTTGTTGTCTTCCATAATTTAGGTCCCCTCCCCCTCCCTGTGGGACAGCGGTAATTTTACAGACTTACAAAACTAAAATCTTTGGTTCTATTCCCCACGGTGAACGGAGACAAATGCTAAATGAGGCTTTATTCTAAAATAAACAAACCTATCGTTCAGCCTTCTTATTTAGAATTTGGTGCATATCCCCCCCCCCCCCATCTGTTGCTCCCGGTAGCTAAGCGGTAAAGCTGCAGGCTTACGATGCTAAAACTGGGTTTCGATACCTGTGGTGGGCAAAGTGCAGATATCTTATTGTGTGACTCTGTGCTTAAACACAGAACAAGTAAAGACACAAACAATTCACTCCTTTGTTATAAACGTTCTTTTTAGTTTATGACAAAAGTTTTTCTAACGTTCTTATTTCCAAATCCTATTTCTTTGGGTTCTTTTTATATTGAAATAAACATCATTGCTAAAGTTGATGTAGATTAGAACTCAAAGCTTAAATTCCCAAAATACCTAAACTTTCTATTGTACTAAGCTTTCAAGTCAAAGTATGCATTGAGAGAAATAAAACGTTTTTAATTGCAGGGGCATATTTACGTTCTTAAAGTATAATATCAAAAATGAAACGTTTTTAATTCCAGGGGCTTACGTTCTTAAAATATAATATATATAATTAAACGTTTTTAATTCCAGGGGCTTACTTACGTTCATAAAGTATAATATCAAAAATAAAACGTTTTTAATTCCAGGGGCTTACTTACGTTCTTAAAGTATAATATCCAAAATAAAACAAAACGTTTTTAATTCCAGGGGCTTACTTACGTTCTTAAAGTATAATATCCAAAATAAAACAAAACGTTTTTAATTCCAGGGGCTTACTTACGTTCTTAAAGTATAATATCCAAAATAAAACAAAACGTTTTTAATTCCAGGGGCTTACTTACGTTCTTAACATATAATATCAAAAATAAAACGTTTTTAATTCCAGGGGCTTACTTGCGTTCTTAAAGTATAGTATCCAAAATAAAACAAAACGTTTTTAATTCCAGGGGCTTACTTACGTTCTTAAAGTATAATATCAAAAATATAGAAATGATTTTAAAGTAAGAGTTACTACCTAATTAATGACCAAAATATTATCAACAACGAAGGTACTAAATGATGAACAATATAATTTATAGAACTCGCTTCTTTCTTTCTTGGCTATTAATTTTGGACGTTATGTATCCTCTTGACGATTTATTGTAGAAAATTTGCTTCATTCGTTTATAAATCATACTTCTTAAGACTTAGCTATATAGTTAGGTTACTCTGATCTGAAGGTCTTGATTGTGCATTTAGATACCTTAGACACCTACAGGTCTGTTAAATATTATCGTCTCAGTCGGTTGTCTATGACAGAAAATGTCATGGTTTGTAATTTATTTTATTGGTTTCAGCAAACGTTAAGTTTCTTCCACACACTTGTTACAATGAACTACTTTATTTACAATTTGCTGTTAGTATTTTTATTGTTATAGTAACTCAAGTATTTAGACTGTAAGATTTATTTGAGGGCATTTAATTGTTATAGTAACTCAAATATTTAGACTGTAAGATTTAATTGTAGGCATTCATTATGATAACCTTGAATACTTTAGTATTGTTATAGTAACTCAAGTATTTAGACTAAGATTTGATTGTAGGCATTCATTATGATAACTTTGAATACTTTAGTATTGTTATAGTAACTCAAATATTTAGACTGTAAGATTTGTTTGAGGGCATTCATTATGATAACTTTGAATACTTTAGTATTGTTATAGTAACTCAAATATTTAGACTGTAAGATTTGATTGAATATTCAAGGTTATCATAATGAATGCCTATAACAATACTAAAATAACTCAAATATTTAGACTGTTTAGATTTGTTTGAAGGCATTCATTATGATAACTTTGAATACTTTAGTATTGTTATAGTAACTCAAGTATTTAGACTAAGATTTGATTGTAGGCATTCATTATGATAACTTTGAATACTTTAGTATTGTTATAGTAACTCAAGTATTTAGACTAAGATTTGATTGTAGGCATTCATTATGATAACTTTGAATACTTTAGTATTGTTATAGTAACTCAAGTATTTAGACTAAGATTTGATTGTAGGCATTCATTATGATAACTTTGAATACTTTAGTATTGTTATAGTAACTCAAGTATTT